GCTTTTAACAATTTATAATTGGCTTTTAAAACATTTACTCTGGCTCGTGCTGCGGCTCACTAGGCTAATCCTCCACCTTGCGGCGCCAGCACACCGGGTTCTAGTCCCGATCGGGGCACGGGATTCTGTCCCGGTTGCTCCTCTTCCAGGCCAGCTCTCTGCTGTGGCCAGGGAGTGCAGTGGAGGATGGCCCAGGTGCTTGGGCCCTGCACCCCATGGGAGACCAGGATAAGTACCTGGCTCCTGCCTTGGGATCAGCGCGATGCACCGGCCGTGGCAGCCATTGGAGTGTGAACCAACAGCAAAGGAAGACGTTTTTCTCTGTCTCTCTCTCTCACTGTCCACTCTGCATGTCAAATAATAATAATAATAATAATAATAAATTTAACCCATTTTTTGTGGTTGTGGTTGGTGTCTTCTAATTTCAGTCACTCTCTTCTAAGGTTTTGGCTTACGTTTCATGGCTACTTTCAGTGCTCTCCCTTTTGCATGAGGAGTTACACTCTTGTTTCTGACTGATTTGAAACATCACACGCTGTCTTTAATTCTACCAGCTACTCTTGCACTGAAAAGCACTTGAACAGATATTTCTCTATTATCTCAGGTATTTACTCTGTCCTCTCATGTTTTTTCCTATTCTTTCTAGCACTACCCCTATATGTGAGAATATAGTCTGGAATAATTGAACTACAACCACGTTATTTTTATCTTTAAAAGGTTGTTTTTAACAAAACAGGTTAAATTTTAATGTTTAACATTTGCAATGTCTTTTTTAAAAAAGATTTATTTACTTATTTGAAAGTCGGAGTTACACAGAGAAGAAGCAGAGGCAGGGAGAGAGAGGTCTTCCATCCGCTGGTTCACTCCCCAGTTGGCCGTAACAGCCAGAGCTGTGCCGATCTGAAGCCAGGAGCCAAGAGCTTCTTACTAGTCTCCCATGCGGGTGCAGGGGCCCAAGGGCTTGGACCATCTTCTGCTTTCCCAGGCCACAGCAGAGGTGCTGGTTCCAGTCCCGGCTGCTCCACTTCCAATCCAGCTCTCTGCATGTTTCCATGTGGGAAACCCGGAGGAAGCTCCTATCTCCTGGCTTCGGATTGGAATAGCTCCATCTGTTGCGGCCAGTTGGGGAGTAAACCAGCAGATGGAAGACTTCTCGCTCTTTCTCTCTCTCTCTCCTTATCTTTCTAGATAACTCTTTCAAATAAATAAATAAATCTTTAAAAGAGAGAGAGAGAGCGAGCTGGATTGGAACCAGTGCCCATATGGGAGGCCGGCACTGCAGGCAGCAGGTTTACTCAATATGCCACAGTGCCAGCCCCTACAGTGTCTTTATCTAGAGTAATTATCCAGGCCGGCACCGAGGCTCACTAGGCTAATCCTCTGCCTGCGGCGCCGGCACACCGGTTTCTAGTCCTGGTCAGGGCACCGGATTCTGTCCCAGTTGCTCCTCTTCCAGGCCAGCTCTCTGCTGTGGCCCGGGAGTGCAGTGGAGGATGGCCCAGGTGCTTGGGCCCTGCACCCCATGGGAGACCAGGAGAAGCACCTGGCTCCTGCCTTCAGATCAGCGCAGTGCACCAGCCGCAGCAGCCACTGGGGGGTGAACGAACAGCAAAGGAAGACGTTTCTCTCTCTCTCTCTCTCTGTCCACTCTGCCTGTCAAAGAAAAAAAAATAGAGTAATTACCCAGACTTACTTCCTATAATTAATTGACTTTGACACTTATCATCAGGACTTCTACCATGCACTGCTGATTCAAAATTCTTGAATCTGATTAATTTTTAGAAGTCTATAGTATTTCTTTACTGTTGGTTATTTTGTCTATAGTATTTTGAGCAGGACAATCTTCAGAGCCCATGATCAAGAAAATTCTTTCTGTGACTGTCACATATTTTTTTTTGTTTTGCTTTTTACATATTTATTTATTTATTTGAAAGGCGTAGTTACAGAGAGGCAGAGAGAGAAAGAGACAGAGAGAGAGAGAGAGAGGTCTCTTCCAACCACTGATTCACTCCCTAGATGGCTGCAACAGGCAGAGCTGAGCCAATCTGAAGCAAGGAACCAGGAGCTTCTTCTGTGCCTTCCACACGGGTGCAGGGGCCCAAGGACTTGGGCCATCTTCTACTGCTTTCCCAGGCCATAGCAGAGAGCTAGATCATAAGAGGAGCAGCTGGGTAGAACTGGTGCCCATATGGGACACCAGTGCCTCAGGCCAGGGTGTTAACCATGGGCCACTGCGCTGGCCCCAATAATTCCTTTTTAAACACAGGAAGCTGGGGCCGGTGCTGTGGCTGTGGTATAGTGAGATAAAGCCTCCACCTGCAGTGCTGGCATCCCATATGGGAGCCAGCTTGAGTCCCGGCTGCTCCACTTCCCATCCAGCTCTCTGCTATGGCCTGGGAAGGCAGTAGAAGATGGCCCAAGTCCTTGGAGCCAACACACTGTGCTCCTGCATCAGAGGCTGGGGGAGCTCTCTGGAGGGTCTAGGCAGAGCAGTACCGCCCCTGGCTGACCCCACACGCGGGCCTGTAGAGCTGCAGCCCTCGGGGGCTGGAAGGGCTCAGGACAGCTCAGTCTGGGGAGATGTCTCTCTCCCGCTTCTGCTTGCCGGTGCTGATGGAGGCACGGGGCACTTCAAACAACCCAGGGAGCCCTGAGAACTCTGACATAATGAGTTCATGAGGACTTCTCCCACTCAGCAGGCCCCATCTAAACACAGGTGAGGTTCAGTTCCTGATGCATACATTCAATTTTGATCTTCAAGGCTCAAGTTCAGAAAAAACACTCCATTGCTGTG